TGTTGGCTGTGTGTCAAGAAACACATCAGACTAGACACAGAGACGAACAAATCCAGTCTGAAAAGATGAAATGTGCGTCATTAAAATAGAAAACATCTGCAAATGGGACTCAAACTACAAGTATAATCACATCAAAAGGGCACAAGATAACAACAATAAGACAGTCATTTTTGTTTTTAGGTTTTTATTTGAAATATCAGCATGAAGACGAGGATTAGAAGTTGGAATGGGCAGATTGTTGGATTATTTGCAGGTAAATTATTATTCTTGTCTTTAGCAGGAGCATTATTAAAAGCTGAACATGTTCTTTTTTGATCAGTTTTATATTTTTGTTTATATTTAATACACTTGTTCAGTGATGCATTATTAGAAGGTCTTCAGATGTTTAATGTCATCTATTATTTAATTTACTGTCACCAAATTACAAACCGGATTCCAAAAAAGTTGGGACACTAAACAAATTGTGAATAAAAACTGAATGCAATGATGTGGAGGTGCCAACATCTAATATTTTATTCAGAATAGAACACAAATCACAGATCAAAAGTTTAAACTGAGAGAATGTATCATTTTAAGGGAAAAATCTGTTGTTTCCAAATTTCATGGCGTCAACAAATCCCAAAAAAGTTGTGACAAGTCCATTTTTACCACTGTGTGGCATCCCCCCTTCTTCTTACAACACTCAACAGACGTCTGGGGACAGAGGAGACCAGTTTCTCAAGTTTAGAAATAGGAATGCTCTCCCATTCATATCTAACTGTTCAATCGTCTTGGGCCTTCTTTGTCGCACCTTCCTCTTTATGATGCGCCAAATGTTCTCTATAGGTGAAAGATCTGGACTGCAGGCTGGCCATTTCAGTACCCGGATCCTTCTACGTAGCCATGATGTTGTGATTGCTGCAGAATGTGGTCTGGCATTATCGTGTTGAAAAATGCAGGGTCTTCCCTGAAAGAGATGACGTCTAGATGGGAGCATATGTTGTTCTAGAACCTGAACATAGTTCTCTGCATTAATGGTGCCTTTCCAGACATGCAAGCTGCCCATGCCACAAGCACTCATGCAACCCCATACCATCAGTGATGCAGGCTTCTGAACGGAGCGTTGATAACAACTTGGGCTATCCTTGTCCTATCTGGTCCGGATGACATGGCATCCCAGTGTTCCATAAAGAACTTCAAATCGTGACTCATCTGACCACAGAACAGTCTTCCATTTTGCCACACTCCATTTTAAATGACCCCTGGCCCAGTGCAAACATCTGAGCTTGTGGAGCTTGCTTAGAAATGGCTTCCTCTTTGCACTGTAGAGTTTCAGCTGGCAACGGCGGATGGCACGGTGGATTGTGTTCACTGACAATGCTTTCTGGAAGTATTCCTGAGCCCATTCTGTTATTTCCTTGACAGTGGCATTCCTGTTTGAGGTGCAGTGACGTTTAAGGGCCCGGAGATCACGAGCATCCAGTAGAGTTTTACGGCCTTGACCCTTACGCACAGCGATTGTTCCAGATTCTCTGAATCTTTTGATGATGTTATGCACGGTTGATGATGATAACTTAAGTCTCAGCTATTTTACGCTGGGTAACACCATTCTGGTATTGCTGCACTATCTTTCTGCGCAACAATGGTGGAATTGGTGATCCTCTTTACCATCTTGGCTTCTGAGAGACACTGACACTCTGAGAAGCTCTTTTTATACCCAATCATGTTGTCAATTGACCTAATTAGTGTTAATTGGTTTTCCAGCTGTTCGTTATATGCTCAATTTCCTTTTTCCAGCCATTTATTGCTACTTGTCCCAACTTTTTAGGGATTTGTTGACACTGTGAAATTTTGAATCAACATATTTTTCCTTTAAAATGTTACATTTACTCAGATTAAACTTTTGATCTGTCATCTATGTTATATTACAAATAAAATGTTGACATTCGCCATCTCCACATCATTGCATTCAGTTTTTATTCACAATTTGTTTAGTGTCCCAACTTTTTTGGAATCCGGTTTGTAGAAACAGCATTAGTTGGGATTGTTTGGTTGTTTCATATCTGGTTAATCTCAAGCATGGTCGTTGACTCAAGTGTTTTTACTGACTGATTTATCGTATTTTATTTTTTTGTAGGTGTTATAATTTCTCATCTTCATACAGTTTTTGATTCCTCCCCAGAGTTTACAGCGATATTACTGATTAAACGATTCATGTAAATATGTGAACGTTGCATTCTGTTAATGTCTAATAAACACCCTGTCTGGTATTATTAACTGATTAATCTGGTTCTGAGAGCAGGTTCAGTGAAGGTTTTTTTTCCATTTTTTTTTATTTAGGCCATTCATTTTGAGACAAACTGGAATATAATGCTCTGTTTTACCTTTGACATGACAACAGCGGCGTTGATGATTTAATTATATTTTATTCAAAATGAAAACAGAAATTACATTCTGGATTTGTTCGGAAATTTGTTATATCACAATTTATACCCATTCAAAGTGTTATACACTGTTCTCACGGCAATATCACAAAATGTATCCGTAAATATAGTATTATTTCAACATTTTAAAATAAAAGAAAGTGGTTTATGGTACAAACTGTTAAATAAAAACAAAGTGAAGGCATTTATCAACTTCTTCCTAAACATATTTTAACAGTGTCAGGGAAATAAAAACACATATCGACACAGAAACAAGGGTTTTGCACAGAAAGTCCTCAAAAAACTGGTTCTGGTGTCTTTATATTAACATAAAACATCTTTATTTTGTGTTTAATTTTTTTTTATCAAAGTTCATCCTTTTACCGCAGAAAAGTATCAGAAAGCATTTTATAATCAACAATCTAAGAAAACATTTTAAATGATCTTATAATACAAAGGTTTTATGTATATATGACGTGATGAATTTATGTTCTGCACACATCATATATTTAAATACAGCGCCACAGGAAGATTTGGATTTACAGCTTATTTAGTTATTAACATCCATTTGCCCTCTGCACTGTTTTCTTCTACATGTTTGTGAAAATATGCATACCAAACCATTAAAGTTATCAGAGCTGCTGATGATGGATGTTTCCATAGAAGTCACTGTTTCTGGTAGAAATCTTCCTTCAGATAACTTCCCGTCAAGTTGGATTAATTTCCTCTGGACATACAAAAACATGTTCGTACCAATCCAAACGTGACTTCACCTGCGTCACGATGTTTGAAACGTTTTCCTGTTAAATTATTTGAGAGTGAAAACTGATGCTCCCAAAGTGGGATCTTTGTCAGAGCAAAAAGATTCAAATTCAAAGTTTGAGTGTCTGATGCTCACGTGATGAGAAATAAAACTAGTTTCTTTTATTTTGCATTGACGGTGTTCCTCTGCCATCTAGTGAGTGAAAGTTGACATTTCTTTTCTTATTTTTAGCAGAAGTTCTGAGTGAGCTGCTTTTTCTTTGTCTCTTATAAATCCACTCAGATATATGAGATGTCTTCATCATCTCACAGTGACCTGCAGACATCAGACTGCTGAGCTGAGGCCGGTCTTTTCAGCAGCATCTTCTCCAAGCATCAATATCTGTTGCAAAAAGAAAAACATTCAGGTCCAACGGCTAAAAGCCCAATTTAATGAATAAAACCTAAAATACAAACAAAATATCCCCAACAACAAACATGATTAAAAGACATGAATAGGTCATAACTTATATTGCAAGTAAGGAAGTTAGAGCGCTTATCACAGACATAAAATCACAAAGTGCTGCACAATAAAAATCAAATTGTCAAAGTATTTTTTATAAATGATGCAAATGAAACAGGAATGAATCTGTGCTGAGGAGCTCTTCCACACAGATTATTACAGTCGTGAGGGAAAGAGTCAGAATTTTGATGCATTTCAAGCATCTAATGCAGGGGTGCCCAAACTTTTTCATTGAGAGGGCCAAATGGGCTGCGGGCCAAATGCAATAATACATGAAATGCAAATACTTCTTTAAAGTCCATTTATTTATTGCAGTTATTTATCCTTCCATTCAGTATAAAGAACATCACAGAAAGAGTGTGTTGGTGGTGATGGTGGTGGGTCCTCCCCCAAAGATTTTGTTTAAAGTAGATGCCATTTCCTGCATTCTGGTGTATTTTACAAAAGTTTATTACAGTAGATTAACATGAAACAAAAGATGTAAACTGTTATTCTTGAAATCTCTCAAAGCGTTCGTAATGCAACACCACTGCAGCTCTGCAGGTAAAGAGGCGTTCACTTCAGGACAAATCGAGGTTGCTGATTGGTCAGTTGCTGACATGCCTACTGGATTGATTGACAGGTGGTGGGACTTGTGCAAAAAAAAAAAATCATAGATTTTATTGGCTCGTTTGAGACTGTTCTCATTTATTTCATATTTATTCAATATTTTGGTGAATCTAATGTTTGAGAACTGTTTCCTGACACAATCCTAATTATTTCTTTATTTTTCATGGGAGCTGAGTTTAGATTTAAAGAGGCTCAAATCACCACTGAAACCAGTTCATATTTACAATTTATTTTTAAACACTTTGTGATTTATAAGTGTGTTCTGTCAAAGGAAAATGTTTCTCAGTGGCAGGAAGCTGCCGAGAGATGGCAGAAAGTCTGTCAATGTAAAATATAAAAATATGAATTATTAAAATTATTTAAAAAATACATAAATTATCAACTCTACTGTGTAATCTGTGTAGTTAAGTTATGGTAGTCAGGCCGACTAACAGTAAAGTCAATGGGTGGAATCAATGAGTGTAAGCACATTGATTCTTCAAAGGAAATTTTAATTTGGTAATGAGGACAGCTTGGGCCCACTTTGGGCACCCCTGATCTAATGAGTTAAAACTGTACCACATTCAATTTAAAGTCCAGTCAGTGTCCTTATGTTTCATAAATGTTTGCTGAAAATGGTTACATCGTCTTACAGCAACATTGTGCAGTGCAACACCTTTTATCCACCTGAAGAGGGCGAGGGGGCCACTTCCCTGAATAATCCATGTTCTGAGAAAAGTTCAGTTCTACCTGTAATAATTGGGTTTGAAGGGTCCATGTTTGTTGATGCCCAGGTACACGGCCTGTTCATTCGTCAGCTCTGTTAGATGAGCGTCAAACAACGACAGGTGAAGACTGGCCACATATTCATCTGCACACACAAAAAGAAACACTTGTTTATTTAAACTGTACGGCGGAGCGGTTCAGAAAGGTGACTGTGAGTTTAGCGTTTAAGAACTCGCCCATCTTCTTCGGCAGCAGGTAAATGTCCTGTTTGTACCGACCCTGCGGCGCGTTGAACAGCTCTATGAGAGCCAGGGCCTGAAAGGTGAGCACACATTATTACAAACTGGTGTCCGCTGACGTCTACGAGTTAAATAAAGTCCAGTTTTCATGCCTGAGTTGTGGCTGTTACGGAAAGGACGAACGAAGGCACAGTGGAGCAGCTCAGATTCAACAAGCGACCCTAAAAAAAAAAATCAAATTTAAACAGAAAGAAATAAAAATTATTAAATAATATAACAACAACCATTAATCATAAACAAATAAAACACACCGTGACAAAATAACTCATAGTGTTCAGTAAAAAAACCAAATGTTTTAGTGGTTTCTTCCCAGGAGGAGTTAAGCAGATTGAGCTGTTAGCTCATCACTCAAATCAAAATTAAACTTTATTTCTTCAAACTGGTGCCATTAAAAGAACTATCTGCAACAGATAAGATGCTGACCGTGCATACTATTTACACAGAACCCCGTTAGCTGTGAAGTGCATTATGTGAGTTCACGCTACATTTTATTTGTAGCAACATCCAAAGTTAAAACATCGAACACAGTGAGGACAGATGTTTAACCAGTAAACCATAAGGCTTTAATTCCAGTGGAAACATCTGCAGTTTTTAGAAAAGCAGCTCCAGAACAAAAACAAATATTGTCAGCTTCCTAGCCAAGCTTGTGCAGAAGACTTTTGTTAAACCACATCTCGTGTGAATGCTGTTTTACCTGCTTTTAAATTTAACACACAATCATAAACTATTTGTGTGTTTTTAGGTAGGAGGACCAGAAAAACTCTGAATAACCATGAGGGCCACTTCAGTGGGAGTTAATGTTCACCAGGACAAGCTTTAGTGTAAATAATAAAACTAAAAATAGCTCTGCTAAGGGCGTCATTAACATTTTTATTTCTACCTGCGCTTTCCTGCCCTTAAAAGCATAAATGATTGATCCATTACTGCTGACGCTGTTTGTCAACACATTTTATTTTTGTGGTTTGTGGCAAAACCATTAATTTGGTTTACTTAAAGGCCAGCATTCCTTGAATGAACAAATGAAAATATATACCTTCTGCCTTTTACAGAAGAGTTAAATGAAGGCCATCTAACGTTGAGAAGATATAAAGTTATAGTCACCGTGGATGCAGCTTTTAAATGAATTTATCTCATGAGTGCAACATCTGTTAGAGCTCAGAGTATGTGTTGTGCATTACTCTCAGCTACTGCCACACTAGATTTTAGCTCAATATCTATGCTAGAAGTAGTAGTATCTGTAAATATGACTTTATTATACACATTTTTGAGTTGGATGAGCTCAGTTAGCTGTGGCGGCCATCTTGAACTGGGTTGATTTCAAAAGCCATTCAGTTACATTTGTACACACAAGGATGTAAGTATGCATGTGAATTAATCTCAGCTACTACAACTCACTACATTTTAGCTAAAATATGTCAAATTGACTAACTTATAGGCACTTTTTTTTTCAATCTTGACTCTTGGCTGAGCTCTAGATGCACGTTAAGGACTACTTTTAGAGTTTCGTTAAAATCTGTTGGTTTATTTTGCTAACCACCTTCACTTCCATTAATTATCTTTACTGTGTGGATGAAATGAGCAGTTTCAGCGTTATGGTTAACACAGAAACGCTCAGTCTATCTTGATCAGCTGGGGGGTGCTCAAGCACACCTAAAGGTCAGATCCTAGAATCGCCCCTGATCTTGATCCTATCTGAACAGCGTTCTTGTATGCAATTAAAGCCCATCATCACCTCTGCCAGCAGGACAACCCGTTTGCCATCAGGCCAGAGGATGTGGTCCACATGAGGCCTCACACGCTGCCATTTCAGCTCCGCCGTCCGCAGGCTGGCCTGGAAAAAACAGGTGTCTTCGCTTTAAACACTATATATATATATACACACAATATATATATATATATATGTATATATATATATCCCCTTTCTTAGTTCATATCTTAGATGTTATTACTGTTTTTCTTATACATTTTATTGT